TTTGCTATAATATTCCTTGGAGTTGTCATTTTGGAGTTTCAGGTGATGATCAGTGGATTCCTTCAATTTCTATTTTATTGTATTTTTTTAAATTTTTAGGCAATTGGGGTTAAGTAATTTGCCCAGGGTCATGCAGCTAATAAGTGTCAAGTATTTGGTCTGAGGCAGCATTTGAACTCAGGTCCTCTTGACTTCAGGCCAGGTGCTCTTTCCACTGCACCACCTACCTGCCCCCAATTTCTAGGATATTGGGGCAGTTTTATAACTTCTTGAAATATGATGACTAGCCTCTTTCTTTCATTATGGCTTTCTGGTAATCCAATAATTCTTAAATTATCTCTCCTCAATCTACAATTATTTTTCCAATGAGATATTTCATATTTTCTTCTATTTTTTTTACTTTGTTTTGCTTTTTGACGTCTTCTAAAGTCATTAGCTTTCACTTGCCCAATTCAAATTTTTAGGAATTACTTTCTTCAGTGAACTTTTGTATCTCTTTTTCCATTTGGTCAATTCTTTTTTAAAGCATTATTTTCTTTTTGGTGCCTCTTTTACCAAGCTATTATCTTCATAATTTTCTTCCTTTGCTTTCATTTCTTTACCTATTTTTCCCTCTACTAGTCTTATTTTATTATTTTATTTATTTATATTATTTAATCATTTTAGCTTGAGGCAGCTAGGTGGCATGGTGGATAGAGCACCAGCCCTGGAGTCAGGAGGACCTCAGTTCAAATCCAGCCTCAGACACATAACACTCACTAGCTGTGTGATACTGGGCAAGTCACTTCACCCCAATTGCCTTTTATATATATATATATATATATATATATATATATATATATATATATATATATATATATATATGTATGTATGTATGCATGTATATATAAAATTTAGCTTCTCCAGGAATTCTTGTTGTGCTTATGTTCAATTCACATTTTTCTTTGAGGCTTTGCTTTGTAGATGTTTTGACTTTATTGTCTTCTTCTGATTTTGTGTCCTGATCTTCCTTGTCACCATAGTGGCTTTTTATGGTCAGGTTCTTTTTTGTTGTTGTTGTTGTTTGCTTATTTTCCCACCCTATTTCTGGATTTGAAACTTTATGTTAATGTTGGGCCCTGTTTCCACTGTAGAATAGGGGGTGGGGGAAAGGCTCTGTCTCAAGCTTCAGGCTTTTTTACACTGTTTTCAGAGTTAGTTCTGGGGTTTTAGAAATTTTTGGTGCTTCCAAGGTGGTGTGGTCTGAGCAGAGGTGTGATCACTGCTCTCTTGGTCTGCATGCTGGTCCTTACCCAGGAAGGTCCCCTGATCTTTGGGATTACAATCAATACTGTTCTTCAGGGCCCCTCCTCCATTGGGACTGAAAACAATACTGTTCCTCTGGGTCCCTGATCCCTTGGGGCTGGATGTGATACTGCCTCTCAGTATCCACTCAGCTTCTACTGCCCCTTTTTAAAAGTGCTCTTCTCTTCCCCGAACTATGACCCAGAAGTGGGTATAGGCAATGGAGTTGCCAAACAGTGTCTGGTCCTGAATCTAATACTCACACAGGGCACCCTGTAATCTTTCTGATTAGTTGCCAGGTTCCTCTGCCATCTCACTGGACAGCTCCTGAAGCTGCTATTGCATCTATCATCACTGCTTAGTCCCACCACTAATGCTTCATTCATATGGGCCCCAGGCCACAGCGGATCCTTCTTTCAGACCTCCTATGTTGTCTTGGGCTGGAAAAATGTTTTATTCTGACTTTTCGTTGGCTCTGCCACTCCAGAATTTGATTAAGACATTATTTTAGAGTTGTTTGGAGGGGAATGTTGGGAGAGCTCAGCCGCACCATCTTGCACATCCCATCCCTGACCAATCAACAACATCTTTATTTTAGAAAGCAATTCACATTTCCTTTTCTCTGGCACTCCATTTTTTTCTTCATCTCAAAGAGGACTAAGGTGAAGCATAGTAACTTACTTAATAAGCAAAAAACCATGTCCCCCTACCCCTTACATGCTTAGTTCTCTACTAGGCCTGTGAGAGATATAGAAGAGATATGAAATGCTATCTATCCTCAAGGAGCTTCTATGCACAGAAAAATAACAAGTGTTAAACCGTATGGTCTTGATCATAAGTACAATACAAATTCAGGGAGAGATCAGTACAGCCACCAATGATTTTAGGTAGGTGTCAAGTAGGAGGGGGACTTGAGCTTTGGACTGTAGCAAGGAAGCCACAACTTACAAATGGAGCAAATTTCTTGAGTGATGTGATGGAAGTACTTTAGAGAGCTCAATCTGGCAAGAATATGCAGAATGGGTTAATTTTAAGGACTCATTGTACTTTGCTTTCCATTACCCACAGCCATTTACTATGGTTCTCTGCACAGAGTAGGCACACGATATTTGTTGAATAAATTTGCTTAACATTATTTAAGTGTGGTTTTGCCTGAAAATAATAGAATGTAAACTTTTTGAGGCTGGGAATCTTTCTTTTTTTAAAGTTATTTACTATTTATTTTTAACATTCATTTAAAAAAATTTTTTGTTTCAATTTCTCTCACCCCTTCCAGTCCCTCCCCCACTCATTGAGAAGGTATGTAATATATCAATTATACATGTGAAGTCATGTAAAAACACATTTCCATATCTGCTATGTTGCAAAAAATAAAAGCAAGAAAAATAAAGTAAAACAAGTATGCTTCAACCTAAATTCAGTCCATCAAAACTGCTGGACTGCAGGTGGATAGCATTTTTCATGATGAATCCTTTGGAATTATCTTGGATCACTGTATTAATTAGAGTAGCTAAGTCTTTCCCAGCTGATCATCACTATAATATCGCCGTCACTGTGTACAATGTTCTCCTGGTTCTTCTCATTTCATTTTCCATCAATTAGTATGTCTTCACTGGTACTGTTTCAATGTTGTCTGTATACCTCCTGCCTTGCACAATAGCCGGCTCATAGGAGGTACTTAATTAAGGTTTATTGATTTGCTGACTTCTCAAAGTCTATAGTCCTTTAAAATCATTGCCTGGACTGAGGTATAGGTATGATAAAGTTTTGCACACATTTGCCTTCCCAGAGCTCAGGTCATACTCTAGAAAAATAAGGTTGGCCTCAGTCCGGATAGCTTAAAACATGTCAAAACCAACCCAATAATCTTCAGTTTTAGTGTTCACTACTGCAGCCCTTGTTGCCATCATGTTTATATTGAAGTTAATCACAATTGTGACAGATGCCCATCAATCTAAATAAATAAATGCAACTTTGGTTTCTGGATACCACAGCTACATTCTAGGTCCAGATTAGTGAAAATAATGAAGCTTATGAAGTAATCCCATTATGTCAACTGTGCTGCATACTTCCATTGGGCTGGAACCAATTACCTTATTTTACACCATTATAACTTCAAGTAGTATAAATACAGGACTACTTCTTCACACTAAAATAATAATAATTGCTAACATTGACATGTCATCTACTATGAGCTAGGCACTGTGTTACGTACTTTTTTTTTCATTAGTCCATAATAAGAATTTTTTTCAACTGAACTCTTCATGCTAGTACCTTAGGGTATAGCAAAACAGAGATTGAATGAAAACAGAATGATGAAATATAAGCTTAAAGAAAAAACAGAATGATTTGGAGGTTTTCTTTTTTTAGATAACATTTATTTTTCCCCAATTACATGTTCAAGCAATTTTTAACATTTGGGTTTTTTTTTTAAGTTTTGAGTTAAATTTTATCTTTTCCCCCTCCCCTCTGCTCTCCCTTCCCTGAGGCAGTAAGCAATTTAAATATAGGTTATACATGTGTAATCATGTAAAACTGTCCATATTCATTTTGTACAAGATTCAAACAAAAAAAAATGAAAAACAGTCTCCTTCAGTATGTATTTAGACAACATCAGTTTTTTCTCTAGAGGTGGATAACAGGTTTTGTCATGTGTCCTTTGGTATCGTCATAGATCATTGTATTGCTGAGAATAGCTAAGTCATTCACAGATCTTCATTGTACAGTATTGCTATTGCTGTATACTTTTTCCTGGTTCTGCTCCCTTCATTTGCATTAGTTCATGTAAGTCTTTCCAGGTTTTTCTGAAATCATCCTGTTTGTCATTTCTTATAGCGCAATAATATTCCATCATAATCACGTACCACAGCTTGTTCAGTCATTTCCCAATTGATGGCATCCCCTTGATTCCTGATTCTTGTGCTAAGCACTTTTTACAAATATTAGCTCACTTGATCCTCACAACAAACCTGAGAGGTAGAGGCTGTTATCCTTATTTTATTAATGAGGAAACTGAGGCAAACAGTGGTTAAGTGACTTGCCAGGGTCACATAAAGAATAAGTGTTTGAGGCTGGATTTGCATTGATTCCTGACACAAGCCAAGCATTCTATACACTGCAATACCTAGCTGGCCAAGGAACTTACTTGTCAACAATTTGCTTTGGGGGTTCAAATGAATTATTTACCTGGTTAGTATACATGCCAAATAGAGTCAGAGAGGCATCAGGGTGTAGTGGGAAAACTAGTTTCAGAGTCAAGAAGACCAGAGGGATTGTCAAATTCCCTCTGACAAACTGGCTGTAAGACCCTGGCAAGTTAGTTAATCTTTTAGGGCCTGAGTCCCTAAGATTACAAAGCATTTTTAGAAAGAGTTTATTTCTTCACAGAAATTCCCCATATACCAATGAAATGAGAGGCTTTGTCTGTCCCTTCTACATCATCTTGCTAGTCTCCTAAACTTATCTAACAATGCAAATGTTAAAATCTAGGTATTCCTTTTAGTGCAAATTTGGTTGTCAAAAGAACTAATTCAAAGTATTTATTAATAGGCATTCACACTAGCCAAAAAGGTCCTTTGTTTTTGTGCAGATGTTCTTGAAATAACATAGTGCTATTATTTAAAATATATTCATTTTTAAGTAATATTTAATACTTGCATATTAATTATACCCACAATTCATAAAATTAAGTTTAATTCCTTTTTTTTTAATTACAGAGTCAGACCAGATTTTAGCCACACCAGTACTTGATCCGAGACCACTTAACTCCCTACCAAAGCTCTTCTGATGAGAAGAAAGCTTTTGAAAGAAGTGGATCTGAACTCCAATAATAATTCCCCTGGCAGGCAGAGTAATATTTGGTATTCTCAGTTTCTGATTAAAGACAATAGTAGCAAAATCATGTCTAAAGGCATAAACAGGAGTACTGAATCCTAAAACATTTAAATTAAATATTAAAATAAATCCTAAAACATTTAAATTGTACAAATTATTGTCTCTCACCAGCTAACTAGACTTCATCCTGAAGCCATTAGGCTGAGTCAGGGATTCTATCCCAAGGGTACCAGCTAGTTCTCCTCTATCTTACAGTCAGACCACACATACTGATGGCAGGCATTCTGCTACTGGTTATGAAGGTAGGCAAATGAAGAGTATGGATGGATGGATGGGAAGCAATTCAAGGTATACTTGTGTGGTTGTGGGCTAGTGGATCAGTGTGCACCATTTTGGAAAGCAAGACATTTTGAGCATTAGGTTGAATTAAGGTAAAGTACAGGTGCACATTATATATGGATGGTATTGGAGATGATAGAAGACTCTTTGGGCTAACCCTCCCACTCATTTACTAAAACATCTATCTGCTAGGGAAGGAAACTCAATGTACAGCTGAGAAGTATGCCATGTTTTTCAAGCAGGTTTTATAATGATAACCTCTATTATAACTAAATGAGCCTTCTAAATTACACCTTCTTGTTAGCAACAAGATGGTAAACTAGAGATTTTCTCTGATCTTCATGACCTCTCAAACCTCTCCAAAACAGAAATTACATACCAAAGATAAAGCAATTTCAGCTGTATCCATGGTCCAGGACACCCAGAATCCAAAGGTTAACAAAACAAACAAACCCAAACCCTCAAACTGATGCTCACTGACCAGCACTCCTACCCCACCTCCCATGCTACTGGCAGCAAGGCTACACTAACAGACCCAAGGATATGACATCAAAACCTACTTCAACACCCCAGTCCCCCTTCCCTCTTTTCACTGTCATGGACACCCTGGCTCCAGGCTTCAGAAGTTTTTGCTGTTGTTGTTGTTTTGCTAAGCAATGGAGTTAAGTGACTTGCCCAGAGTCACATAGCTGGTAAGTGTCAAGTATCTGAGGTCGCATTTGAACTCAGGTCCTCCTGACTCCAAGGCTGGATCTCTATTCACTGCACCACCTCGCTGTCCTCTGCAGGAGTTTTTTTTTGGCTTCAACAGCTAGCATGGTTACAGCCTTTCAGAAACAAAAACCTGGTCAGGGGGCTGCAACCCAGATGCAGCAATGGTACAAAACTCTGAAAGGTGATGCTAGTGAAAATGGGCTCTGAACTACTGGTGAGGAGCCAAAGAACTGAGGAACAGAGGGAGTGGCGCAAGACACCAGGACGGGGCATTGTCATACAGGAAACCATGCAGCTCTCCACCACGCCTAAGAGAAAGAGCTCAGCATCCAGCTGCAGTTGATTCTGACCACCCGAAAATTAGCTGAGGCAGATATCCAGGCTAGTGAGCCATGTTCCAGCCTCTAAGGAAACTACAATCAAAGCGGAAGTCAGAAAGTTAGTGATAAGGAAAATGAGTTGGGGGGGGGGAGGTGAGGGAATTGAATACCAAGATTCCAGGAAAAAGAAAACTCAAAGATCTTGAATACAAACAGATAAACAGGAAAAACAGTAACAACAGAAGGAAATGTGACCTCAAACCCAGTAAATAAATTCAGGCATCTATAAATGAATACTACAAGATTAGGGAAAATGATTCAACACTTGATGAGACAAAGGACTTGGTAGAATTTAAGGAGAACATGGACCCACATTACACTGTTTTTGAGTGTTTTAAAAGAGAAATGAGATTTATTTCTACACAGCAAAAATCACGAGCAGAATAGAAAAACTTCAATCTGCAATGGTAAGACTCAGCAAAGGACCAAATGAGAGAACAATAGATCGGAAATGCAAATAGACAGAAATGAAGGACAGCCTTGAAGAAAAGAAGCAAAAAACAATAACACTGAAAGAAAATAAGCTTACTATGCAGATAGGATTTTTGAAGATAGGATGTGTAAAAACAACCTAAGGATCATGGGTCTTCCAGAAAAACTAAGACACACACCAGAATGAAGGAAATAATAAAAGATAACTGACTAGAACTTCTAAACATAGAAAATGAAATACTAATTAAAAGAATTCACAGATCACCTCCAGAAAAAAATTACCCAAAGCTACAAACTCCAAGACAAATAGTGGTTAAATTTAACAATTCAATTCAGAAACAAGTTCTGCAAGCCATTAGGGAAAAGACCTTCAAATACAAAGGAAAGGACAATCCACTAATTCTGCACTCACTAGTAAAAGGAGGAGGAAATGGAATAATGTGTTCTGAAGAGCACTGGAACTCAGGATGTATCCCAGGGTGTACTAGGCAGCAAATCTGGGCTAACCATATTGACAAAAGATGGATATTCAATAATAAAGTATCTGAAATATTTTTAGAAAGAAAAATAGAACTAAAAAGATAATTTGCTTCCCAAACACCCCAAAAACAGAAATGCAGGAGGAATCAATAAATGAAGCAGGCAAGGATAGCAAGAGCAACAAAGTGACAACAGAGACCAGGGTGAGATGTCTTTCTAAATGTACACAAGGGGAAGATGGTGGAGTAGGTCAGAAAACTTTCAGCTCTCCAAATTTCCTCTACAAAAAAAGAGCAGCAGAAAATGGGGTAAAGCAGTTGATCTCCTAAGTCAGAGGTTCCCAAACTTATTTGGCCTACCACCTCTTTTTAAAAAAAAATCACTCAGTGTCCCCTGGACATCTACTTCCTTTAACCCCTTAACTTTTTTTAAAATTTTATATAATATTTTTTAAATGACACATCCTAAATTTAATAATTTATTGTAAATTGGTGGGGGTTTTCCTGCATTGAAATTTTGATGATGCAACGTTGCATCATGTATCATCCATATAGGATCATATTGTAAACAAGTCATTACACATACATATTCCTGCTGATGCATGCTGGACTTCTCAATAATGCACAACATGCTTGCCTGCCAACACTTGCTTGTTAAGACCTATCAGTGGACTTGACCACTGATTGGTTATAACTTGCATTGGTGTGTGTTTATTTGGAAAATAATGTAACCACTACAACTTTAACTCTGTTACACAACAAATGAAATATATATATAAAGGTTTTTTCAAAATTTTCTTATCTTCCCTTCTTTCCTTATGATTCCCCCACCACCTTATTTTTATTCAATGCTCCTCCAATTGTACCCAAGGCTTTACTACTGCTCCCCTCAATCATTCTAGCACCCCAAAGGGAGGTACTGCCCACTTTAGGAACCTATGTCTAAGACAATTTGAAAAGACCCCAGGAAGAACCAGACCTCTGGAAGTTCAGCCTGGGTGAAGTGCAAACACCTCCAGGCTGACTACAGAATCAACAAACAACAAGTCTGGGGGCAGCTGGGTTAAGCGCTGGGTCTAAGCTTCAGCCTTAGAAACTTTTCATTTTGCAGACAGTGCTGAGAAGGAGAAGACTGAAGGACCTTCCCCTGTGGAGGGATGCCAAGCACAGCTGTGCTGATCCCAGCATCCCAGGCTGTGGCTGTAGGGAGAAGGAGCTAGCACACACCTACTCAGTGCAGTAGCAAGGGGCAGGGATCCTGTTGGCCCTGGGCACTTGAAGGAGAGCAGAAGCCCTAGTTTCACTTCCAAGGCAGAGAGGACAGTTGTAATTTGCAGCCACCGGAAGGACTACAGGGAGCAAGATCATTTGTGTACAGTGTGGCTGGAGGCCCTGGCTGGGGCTTATGAGTAGAGAGAAGAGCCCAAGGTTGGGCTCCCAAGACAGACCTCAGAAAATAACAGTAAGAAGGACATGAGACTTGGGCACATTCCCCATACCTTGGGACTACAACTTGATTACACTAATAGCTACTAAAAACAAAATAAAATAAATAAATAAATAAATAAAAATGAGTAAGCAAAGGAGAAAGAACCCAACCACAGTTACTATGGGAACAGAGAAGATCTGGGTTCATATTCAGAGGAAGACACAGGAGCTAAAAAAAATTCACTCCTTTTTCAATGAGAAACGTCAAATGGTCCCAAGCACAAAGAGTTTTTGGAAGAACTTAATAAAGGACTTTAAAAAATCAAATAAGAGAGACTGAGGAAAAATTAGGGGGAAAAGATAAGAGAAGTCCAAGAAATCAAGAAAATTATGAAAAGAAAGTCAACCAACTAGAAACAGAGAATCAAAAATTTAAGGAAGAAAATAATTCCTTGAAAACTAGAATTGGGCAAGGGGAAGCTAATAATGTTCTAAGACACCAAGAACTCATAAAACAAAATCAAAAGAATGAAAAAATAGAAGAGAAAGTCAAACATCTCATCAGAAGAACAACTGATCTGGAAAACAGATCAAGGAGAAAAAATATAAGAATAGTCAGACTACTTGAAAATTACGATTTAAAAAAAAAGAATCTTGATACAATATTATAAGAAATTATCAAGGAAAATTACCCTGAAGTTCTAGAAGAATGCGAAGTAGAAATAGAAAAAATCTACTGATTACCACCTGAAAGAGATCCCAGGAAGAAAATTTACAGGAATACAAGTTTCACAGCTCCCAAGTGAAAGAGAAAATATCGGAAGCAACAAGAAAAAAAAACAATTTAAATGTCATGGAGCTACAATACAGATTATACAAGATCTAGTGGCTACTACATTGAAGGACCATAGGTCTTAGAATACTATACTCTGCAGAGCAAAAGAGCTTGGGTTATGACCAAGGGTAACTTACACAAAGTTAAGTATAATCCTGAGTGGGGAAACAAAAGACATTTAACAAACCAAAAGAGTTTCAGGTTTTTGTGACAAAAACCCCAGAACTTAAGGGAAAATTCGACATAATATCCAGGAAAAATATGAGGTAAACATTAAAGACGAATTATAAGGGACTCAATAAGGTCAAATTGTTTACTATGTATGTGTGAAAATATTAGCAGTACTCTTTATGATTCTCATCATTATTTAGGTAGTTTGAAAGAAAGGCTTGGGTTAAGCTGAGTATGACGGGGTGATTCTAAAGAGAATAAAACTGTAGGGAGAGATAAAAAGGAGTAATTATCATATAAATGAGACATAAAAGGAAAAACTGATACT